GTTCTGGGCTGGACTTTTTCCCTTTCTGTTTCATTCGTCAGTATGCTCACATCCACTTTCCATCTAATGGGAATTGTTGATATCTTTCATCTTTTTATTATTTTTACCAGTATGAATTCAGATCATCCTGTTTATACTTCTAAATGTTATTTCAGTGGGAATTTCTGAGAGATAGGAGGAGGATATACAATTCAGTTAGAAATTCTGATTCAGCCCACTCTAGTAAAGTTTAATATTTCAAATAAACTATATTATGTTGTCTTACATTTGAAAAGAAAGCATATTGGCAGAATCAAGGAATAGATCAGAAGTGCAAGGGAGAACTGATTTCAGGGTGGCATGAGTGAATGGAGTACACAGAAAGGAGGGAGTTTGTTCTGACTTTTGAAAACAATTCTCGTTGGCCAGATTCTCATTTCACCTGAGATTTCTCTCCAGATTTGGTTATTTCATTTTTAGGATCCAATGATCTCTGTGCTAAAATAATTTGGGTGAGGAAGTCTTCTCGCTCAAGACTTTCGTCTTCTTAGCCATAGAGTCAACCTCTCTGGTTCAACACACCCTGTCTCCTACCCACGGGAACTGCTACTTGCCTACCTCTGTTGAGAGTCACTGTCAACCTATCTCAAGTCTTCCATATCTCCCACAAGGGCTTCTCATTTCTTGTCTGCTGGTTGCACTCCTCCCAGCTTTACTGAGTTCATGTAGGCTTACTTTTCTTTCTCTTTAAATCGTCCTAGAATTACTTATTTGTATGTTATATTTGATTACCTTCATTATTCTGCTTAAATTTCACCTCAAATGGGCTTCTTTTGATGTTATTTTTGGGATAAGATACCGTAATTTTGCATAATGTTTCAGTCTATTCTGAGCCTTGATAATTCAAATGGGACTCTTCTCTAAGTCTTTTTTCTCCCAGCCTTACAAACATCAAAGTTGATGTGAAACCAAGAAGTCTTTTTCACACTTTCTGCTTCATAAAGAAAATTATTACCTGTTAGTTTGCATTGATTAATTAGCTAATGATATTGATCCAGGCTAATTTTATGTATGAGTCTCTAGTCATTTCTTTTTTTCCTTCAGCACCTAATAAAAGAGAAATCTCATATTTTGGGGGAGGGGCCATGATGTATATATATGTTAAAATTTTAAATTTTATGTTACAGTAAAATTGACTTCTTCTTGTACTGTTCTAAGAGTTCTTAGAACCATTCTGGCTACTATCAGTGTGGTGGAAACAGCTCAGATTTAGCTCATGCAGATTTGGTTTTGGAATCTGCCTATAGCTCTCACTAGCTCTGTAATCTTGGTAAATTTGGAACAACATGGAGTATGAATAAAAACATCTCTGTGAAAAAAAGAGAGAAATCTCTTTCATCCACTTATTGCACATGAGAATCCACTAGCACAGGGCCATGTGAAGCTTAGCTCGGTCTGAAGCAATTGATCTTCTCCCCTTGATGAGAGGCTTTAAAAAATTACATGGAGCCTCTTATTGGTATTCCAAAGTATAGAATATTGTCCTATGTGATCAATTTCTCAGTGAAGTAAATTACTCTTCTATTTTTACATAACTCCAATCTCTTGTGTATTTTTTTGATTAGAAAAATTTATTTTCTAATTTTTAAAGTTTTTTTTTTTCAACTTTTAGAATCAGGAGTACATTTCTAGGGTTGTAACAAAGGCATATTGCATGATGCTGAGATTTGGACTATAAATGCATTGTCACCCAGATTGTGATCGTTTTTCAGATTTTTCCCCTGCACTCTCTTCCAACTCTAGTATTACCCAGTGTCTATTGTTACCATCTTTATGTTGATGTGTACCTAGTGTTTAGCTCCCACTTATAAGTGAGAACATGCAGCATTTAGTTTTCTGCTTTCGCATTAATTCCTGTAGGATAATGGCCTCTAGCTGGGTAATTTTTGCTGCAAAGGACATGGTTTCATTTTTCTATGGTTGCATAGAAGCCTATGGTGTATATGTGCCACATTTTCTTCATCCAATCGCCATTGATTGGCACCTGGATTGATTCCATTTCTTTGCTATTGTGAATAATGCTGTGATGAATATATGTGTCTTTTTGGTAGAAAAATTTATTTGCCTTTGGGTATATAACCAGTAATGGGATTGCTGGGTTGAATGTTAGCTCTGTTTTAAGTTCTTCGAGAAATCTCAAGACTAATCTCCACAGTCGCTAGACTAATTTATATTCCCACCAACAGTACATAAGTGTTCCCTTTTCTCCACAGCCTGGTCAACATTTTTATTCTTTGACTTTTTAACAAAAGCCATACTGATTGGTGTGAGATGGTATCTCATTGTGGTGTTGATTTACATTTCTCTGATAAGTTATGAGCATTTTTCATGTTTGTTGGCTGTATATATGTCTTCTTTTAAGAAGTCTCTGTTCACGTCCTTTGTCTACATTTTAATGGGGGTACTTTTTGCTTGTTGATTTGTTGAAGTTACTTTTGTTTCTTTCTTTTTTGGAAAGACAGGATCTCACTTTATTGCTCAGACTGGAGTGCAATAGCATGATCTTAGCTCACTGTATCCTTAAGTTCCTGGGTTCAAGGGCTCCTCCTGCTTTAGCCTACTGAGTAGCTGCGACTACAGGCACATGCCACTATGCCCAGCTGATTTTTTCTTTTCTTTTTTTGTAGAGCCAGATTCTTGATATGTTACCAGAGCTAGTCTTTGACCCCTGGGTTCAAGCAATCTTCCAGCTTCAGCCACCCAAAGTGTGGGGATTACAGGCATGAGCCATCACACCCAGTCTTTTACATATAGATTCTGGATATAAGACTTTTTTTGGATATATAGTTTGCAAATAATTTCTGCCATTCTGTAGGTTGTCTGTCTACTAAATTGATAGTTTATTTTCCTGTGCACAAACTCAATGTAGGTCACACTTGTCAAGTTTCGTTTTTGTTGCAATTGCTTTTCAGGACTTAGCCATAAATTTTTGCCAATGCTGATGGCAAAAGGGTATTTTCCTGGTTTTTTTTCCCCTAAGATTTTTATAGTTTTGGGCATTACCATTAAGTCTGTAGTCTATCTTGAATCAATTTTTGTGTATAGTGATGGGTTGGGGTCCAGCTTCATTCTTCTGCCTGTGGCTGGCCAGTTATCCCCAGCACTATTTATTGACTAGGGAGTTTTTTCCCAATTTCTCCTTTTTGTTAACTTTGTCAAAAATCAGATGGTTATAGGTGTGTTACTTTATTTCAGAGTTTGCTATTTTGTTCCATTGGTTTATATATTCATTTTTGTACCAATGCTATGCTGTTTTGGTTACTGTAGCCTTGTAGTGTAGTTTGAAGTTGGGTAGTACTATGCCTCTGACTTTGATAAGAATAGCGTTGAATCTGTAAATTGCTTTGAGCAGTATGGACATTTAAAGGATATTAGTTCTCTTAATCCAGTGTATGCAATATTTTTCCATTTATTTGCACCATCTCTGATTTCTTTTAGAAGTGTTTGTAGTTCTCTTTGTAGAGATCTTTCACCTCCCTGGTTAGCTGTATTCCTAGGTATCTATTCTTTTTGTGTCTATTGCAAATGGAATTTCTTTATTTGGCTGTCAGCTTGAACATTATTGATGTATAGAAATGTTACTGATTTTTGCAAATTGGTTTTGCATTCTGAAACTTCACCGAAGTCTTTTGTCAGGTCTAGGACCCTTTTGGCAGAAACTTTAGGAGGGTTTTCTAGATATCAAATCATACTGTTGGCAAAGATAGATAATTTGACTCCTTCTTTATCTATTTGAATGCATATTATTTTTTTCTCTTGCCTGATTGCTCTGGCTAGGACTTCCAGTACTATACTGAAGAGGAGGACTGAATAGGAGAGTAGGCGTTCTTGTCTTGTTCCGGTTCTCAAGGGGAATGGGTCCAGCTTTTTCTCATTGAGTATGATGTTGGCTGTGAGTTGTCATAGGTGGCTCTTATTATTTTGTGGTATGTTCCTTCGATGCTTAGTTAGTTGGGGGTTTTTATCATAAAGTGATATTGGATTTTATTGAAAGCTGACTCTGCATCTACTGACATGATCATATGGTTTTGCTTTTAATTCTATTTATGTGGTCAGTAACATTTATTTATTTATGTTGAATCAACCTTGCATCCTAGGAATGAAACCTACTTGATCTTGAATTAACTTTTTGATATCCTGCTGGATTCAGTTTGCTAGCATTTTTGTTGAGGATTTTTACATTTATGTTCATCAGGGATATTGACTGATATTTTTTTTTCATTGTGTGTCTGCTGGATTTTGGTATCAGAACCAGAAAAACAACTTTTGTTTTATTGATCTTTGTATGGATTTTCAAGTCTCAATTTTGTTTAGTTCTGTTCTGATTTTATTTATTTTCTTCTGCTAGCTTTGAGGTCTGTTCTTCTTTTTCTAGTTTCTCTAATTGTGATGCTAGAATTTTCCCATGAGATCTTTCTAATTTCTTGATGTAGGTATTTAGCACTATAAACTTTCTTGTTAACAGCTTTAGCTGCAAAACAAAGATTCTGGAATCTTGTGTTTCTGTTTTCATTAATTTCTGCTCTAGCTTTGTTGTTCATCCAAAAGTCATTCAGGAGCAAGTTGTTTAATTTCCGTGTAATTGGGTGGTTTTGAGAGCTCTTCTTGGTAATGATTTCTATTTTTATTTAGTAATGGTTTCTAATTTTATTACACTGTGGCCCAAGAGTATGCTTGGTATGATTTTGGTATTTTTGAATTTATTGAGATTTGCCTTATGGCTGCAATTTCTCATGTATTCTGAGATTAATACCGTGTACTATACAGAGGTGACATCATCACAGATCCAGGAAGAAATAAACACTTTCTGTTGATGTTTTGAAATCATGTCTGAAATGAGAAAGCAGCAGCATGCTTCCTTGGATCCATGGTTCCACCTGTGGCCTCCAGAGGGCGACGTTGCACAAGAGAGGCATCTGTTTTCATCGCAGCCATCCGCATCCACTGAGCCCCACCTCCCTGAACCTGGCTGATGCAGCTAACTGATGTCTGTGTAGACAGGGAGCTGTGACGAGAGCAAGAGGTCAGGACACATTCAGACTCCTCGAGGGAAGGCCTCTTTCTGTTTTTTGAAACTTTTCAAAGCCAGAGACTTGTCCAGTCCAGTCTCCCCACTGCTCCCAACTCTTGATGCTCAGCGTCCTTGGCTTCTGTCCGCCCTGCTCATAGTCCTGCGGGATTGCCACTGCTCAGCCATGCTCCCGCTGCTTGTCGCCGTGCTCGAGATGATTTTTATCCTGGGTGAGTAACATTCCATTCTTTTTCCTTCCACAGAAGGAATTACAGAATCTAAATTGAGACACACTTTTTTTTTCTACTCACAAAGCATTGATGTTGCAGGAGGAACCAGAGCCCAGTCTGTGACCCAGCTTGACAACCAAGTCCCTGTCTCTGAAGGAACCCCTGTGGAGCTGAGGTGCAACTACTCATTTTCTTTTTCACTGTCTCTCTTCTGGTATGTGCAATACCCCAACCAAGGACTCCAGCTTCTCCTGAGGTATGCATCAGGACCCACCCTGGTCAAAGGCATCAACGGTTTTGCAGCTGAATTTAAGAAGAATGAGACCTCCTTCCACTTGAGGAAAGCCTCAGCCCATATAAGCGATGCGGCTGAGTACTTCTGTGCTGTGAATGCCACAGTGCCTGAGACTGCAGGAGAGCTGAACGCAAACCCCCGAGATGCTGAGACCTTCTGTGACTAAAGAACTCAACCTGGGAACTTTTCAAGAAGCTCTCTCTTTTTCTGTGCCCCTTTGAAGGCATATAGGACAGGGTAGGCTGAATCCTTGAGAGTGTTTGTCTCTGGAATAATTGCTCCAATGTCAGTGTCATGCCACATTCAGATACACTTTGTCCCACATGGAGGTTTCCTGATGAATTTCTCCAGGAGGGACCTCTTCCACGCTCTGAAGAAAGTACATCACAAGGTGTCAGAGCTCTGAAATAAAAAGCAACAGCATTTTTATAAAAAATTATTTCTAGTATTTGTTATGATTAGTATTGCCTCAGAATTGATTAATTCATGGATAATTGATGTAATTGATTAGAATGTTAGCTAAAAGCTGTGCAGGACAGATTCTCAATTAGGGCAACCCATACAGCACAGAGTCTCTATCAGCATACTGTAGATTCTCAACCTAGATTTGAACCTTAACTTCTAGCACGTACATAATATCTCACTGTGTGGTAATGGCATATTTAAACTAAATTAGACATAATGTCAAGATTTTTAATCTTGTGAGCATTATGCCAGGAAATTAAACATAAATCTTAATAAAATATTGAAAAACTAAGCCACTAAGTTGTGATCTTTTTTGTAGCAGCTATTCCAGTGATTTCCAGGTTACAAATTTGAGGGTTAAAAATGTAACCAATAAAAAGATATCAAATACAGTAGATTCAACTACTTTAAAAATTGAGGGATTTTATTTTAAGAGATGACACAAATTTATTATATAAAATTACATGACCAAAGTTTCCAGTTACATTATCAGAGAGTACATTAATTCTAATAGGGGTATCCAAGACCAGGGTCCACTCTTATTAACGTGGAAATAATTATATCAAAAAACCAACATGTTTAAGACATTTTTTGTACATGATTATGACTCAAAATTTTTATTTGTAGTTTGATCACATGGTAGGATTTAAAAATGCTTCCCAAAATACTATAAAATGTTCACAGATTTTATTTTTAAGAAGTGAGATGATTTTATAATTTTTCTTGACAAAAATTATGAAATGAATCATCTCGCTTCTTAAAAATATTTACAATGGTCTGTCTCCTCTTTTAAAATGAGATGAAGTGGTAATCTTCCCTTATTATAAAACACGCATTTAAAGTAGTTTAAAAATATTCCTATGAATTAAGTTAAAGAGGGTAGAAGTTTATAATCAAAGGTATTTATACTTGGCTTCTTCTGTTGCGCCAGACACTCAGGTTCTTGCTTTTTGGTTTCTTTGGCTGCTGACATTCTTTATTTATTTATTATTGTTTTTTATTAAACACCTTCTTTTTTATTTTTATTTTTTTAAATTTTTTATTGCAATTTAGATTTTGGGGTACATGTGCAGAACATGCAAGACCGTTGCATAGGTACACACATGACAGTGTGTTTTGCTTCCTTTCTCCCCTTCACCCACATTTGGCATTTCTCCCCAGGCTATCCCTCCTCAGCTCCCCGCCCCCCCGCTGACCCTCCCCTTTTCCCCCCACTAGACCCCAGTGTTTAGTACTCCCCTCCCTGTGTCCATGTGTTCTCATTTTTCATCACCCACCTATGAGTGAGAATATGCGGTATTTCATTTTCTGTTCTTGTGTCAGTTTGCTGAGAATGATGTTCTCCAGATTCATCCATGTCCCTACAAACAACACGAACTCATCATTTCTGATTGCTGCATAATATTCCATGGTGTATATGTGCCACATTTTCCCAATCCAGTCTATCATCCCTGGGCATTTGGGTTGATCCCAGGTCTTTGCTATTGTAAACAGTGCTGCAATGAACAATCGTGTGCATGTGCCCTTATAGTAGAACGATATATAGCCCTTTGGATATATACCCACTAATGGGATTGCTGGGTCAAATGGAATTTCTATTTCTAAGGCCTTGAGGAATCGCCACACCATCTTCCACAATGGTTGAACTAATTTACACTCCCACCAACAGTGTAAAAGTGTTCCTTTTTCTCCACATCCTCTCCAGCATCTGTTGTCTCCAGATTTTTTAATGATCGCCATTCTAACTGGCGTGAGATGGTATCTCAATGTGGTCTTGATTTGCATCTCTCTGATGACCAGTGATGATGAGAATTTTTTCATATGATTGTTGGCCTCATGTATGTCTTCTTTTGCAAAGTGTCTGTTCATATTCTTTGCCAATTTTTGAATGGGCTTGTTTGTTTTTTTCCGGTAAATCTGTTTGAGTTCTTTGTAAATTCTGGATATCAGCCCTTTGTCAGATGGGCAAACTGCAAATTTTTTTTCCCATTCTGTTGGTTGCCGATTCACTCTAGTGACTGTTTCTTTTGCCGTGCAGAAGCTGTGGAGTTTGATTAGGTCCCATTTGTCTATTTTGGCTTTTGTTGCCAATGCTTTTGGTGTTTTTTTCATAAAGTCCTTGCCTACTCCTATGTCCTGGATGGTTTTGCCTAGATTTCCTTCTAGGGTTTTTATGGTGCCAGGTCTTATGTTTAAGTCTTTAATCCATCTGGAGTTAATTTTAGTGTAAGGTGTCAGGAAGGGGTCCAGTTTCTGCTTTCTGCACATGGCTAGCCAGTTTTCCCAACATCATTTATTAAACAGGGAATCCTTTCCCCATTGCTTGTTTTTGTCAGGTTTATCAAAGATTGTATGGTTGTAGATATGTTGTGTTGCCTCCGATACCTCTGTTCTGTTCCATTGGTCTATATCTCTGTTTTGGTACGAGTACCATGCTGTTTTGATTACTGTAGCCTTGTAGTATAGTTTGAAATTTGTTTAGTGTGATGCCCCCCACTGTGTCCTTTTTGCTTAGAATTGACTTGGCTATGCAGGCTCTCTTTTGGTTCCATATGAAGTTCATGGTGGTTTTTTCCAGTTCTGTGAAGAAAGTCAATGGTAGTTTGATGGGGATAGTGTTGAGTCTGTAAATTACTTTGGGCAGTATAGCCATTTTCACGATATTAATTCTTCCTAACCATGAACATGGAATGTTTCTCCATCTGTTTGTGTCCTCTTTTATTTCATTGAACAGTGGTTTGTAGTTTTCCTTGAAGAGGTCCCTTACGTTCCTTGTGAATTGTATTCCTAGGTATTTTATTCTTTTTGCAGCAATTGTGAATGGCAGTTCGTTTTTGATTTGGCTTTCTTTAATTCTGTTATTGGTGTAGAGGAGTGCTTGTGATTTTTGCACATTGATTTTATATTTTGTGACTTTGCTGAAGTTGCTTATCAGTTTCAGGAGTTTTTGGGCTGAGGCGATGGGGTCTTCTAGGTATACTATCATGTCGTCTGCAAATAGAGACAATTTGGCTTCCACCTTTCCTATTTGAATACCCTTTATTTCTTTTTCTTGCCTGATTGCTCTGGCTAGAACTTCCAGTACTATATTGAATAGGAGTGGTGAAAGAGGGCATCCTCATCTAGTGCCAGATTTCAAAGGGAATGCTTCTAGTTTTTGTCCATTCAGTATGATATTGGCTGTTGGTTTGTCGTAAATAGCTTTTATTACTTTGAGATACGTTTCATTGATACCGAGTTTATTGAGGGTTTTTAGCAAAAAGGGCTGTTGAATTTTGTCAAATGCCTTCTCTGCGTCAATTGAGATAATCATGTGGTTTTTGTTTTCGGTTCTGTTTATGTGGTGAATTACATTTATAGACTTGCATATGTTGAACCAGCCTTGCATTCCCAGGATGAATCCTACTTGATCATGATGGGTAAGTTTTTTGATTTGCTGTTGCAGTTGGCTTGCCAATATTTTATTGAAGATTTTTGCATCTATGTTCATCATGAATATTGGCCTGAAGTTTTCTTTTCTTGTTGGGTCTCTGCCGGGTTTTGGTATCAGGATGATGTTGGTGTCATAAAATGATTTGGGAAGGATTCCCTCTTTCTGGATTATTTGGAATAGTTTCATAAGGAATGGTACCAGCTCCTGTTTGTGTGTCTGGTAGAATTTGGCTGTGAACCCGTCTGGATCTGGGCTTTTTTTTGTGTGGTAGGCTCTTAATTGCTGCCTCGACTTCTGACCTTGTTATTGGTCTATTCATAGTTTCAGCTTCCTCCTGGTTTAGACTTGGGAGGACACAGGAGTCCAGGATTTTATCCATTTCTTCCAGGTTTACTAGTTTATGTGCATAGAGTTGTTTGTAATATTCTCTGATGATGGTTTGATTTTCTGTGGAATCTGTGGTGATTTCCCCTTTTCATTTTTATTGCACGTATTTGGCTGTTCTCTCTTTTCTTTTTTATCAATCTGGCTAGTGGTTTGTCTATTTTGTTGATTTTTTCAAAAATCCAGCTCTTGGATTTATTGATTTTTTGAAGGGTTTTTTGTGTCTCTATCTCCTTCAGGTCAGCTCTGATCTTAGTTATTTCTTGTCTTCTGCTAGGTTTTGAGTTTTTTTGATCTTGCTCCTCTAGCTCTTTCATTTTTAACGATAGGGTGTCAGTTTTGGATCTCTCCATTCTCCTCATATGGGCACTTATTGCTATATACTTTCCCCTAGAGACTGCTTTAAATGTGTCCCAGAGATTCTGGCATGTTGTGTCTTCATTCTCATTAGTTTTGAAGAACTTCTTTATTTCTGTCTTCATTTCATTGTTTATCCAGTCAACATTCAAGAACCAGTTGTTCAGTTTCCATGAAGCTGTACGGTTCTGTGTTGGTTTCTGAATTCTGAGTTCTAACTTGATTGCACTATGGTCTGAGAGACTGTTTGTTATGATTTCAGTTGTTTTGCATTTGCTGAGGAGTGCTTTACTTCCAATTATGTGGTCAATTTTAGAGTAGGTGTGACGTGGTGCTGAGAAGAATGTATAATCTGTGGATTTGGGGTGGAGAGTTCTGTAGATGTCTATCAGGTTTGCTTGCTCCAGGTCTGAGTTCAAGCCCTGGATATCCTTGTTGATTTTCTGTCTGGTTGATCTGTCTAATATTGACAGTGGAATGTTAAAGTCTCCCACTATTATTGTGTGGGAGTCTAAGTCTCTTTGTAAGTCATTAAGAACTTGCCTTATATATCTGGGTGCTCCTGTATTGGGTCCATATATGTTTAGGATCATTAGTTCTTCTTGTTGTATCGATCTTTTTACCATTATGTAATGGCCTTCTTTGTCTCTTTTGATCTTTGTTGCCTTAAAGTCTATTTTATCAGAGATGAAAATTGCAACTCCTGCTTCTTTTTGCTTGGTAAATCTTCCTCCATCCCTTTATTTTGAGCCTTTGTGTATCCTTGCCTGTGAGATGGGTTTCCTGGATACAGCACACTGATGGGTTTTGTTTTTTTATCCAATTTGCCAGTCTGTGTCTTTTGATTGGTGCATTTAGTCCGTTTACATTTAGGGTTAATATTGTTATGTGTGAATTTGATACTGCCATTTTGAGGCTAGCTGGCTGTTTTGCCTGTTAGTTGTTGTAGATTCTTCATTATGTTGATGCTCTTTAGCATTTAGTGTGATTTTGGAATGGCTGGTACTGGTTGTTTCTTTCTATGTGTAGTGCCTCTTTCAGGAGCTCTTGTAAAGCAGGCCTGGTGGTGA